CTGAAACAGGTGGGCAGGGTGCCACTGTGTTTGATTTATTACATGAGCAATATCTTAGCAAATTGAGAAGATAAGAGGCTCTTATTTTATGTTCTAGCTTGTCAATATCAGTAATTTGAGTTCCTAATTTATACGAAACTATAGACTTAGTATTTCGACATCACAAACATCTAATTTGAACCAGTACTGCATTCAACATACCACGTGACAAACAAAATTCGATGTTTATCTGTGTTTTTTTCAATATTTGCTCTTAAATTAAGAAATTGAGTAATATATAGTACTAATATTTGACTTATAATCTACAGTTTGATACCAGACTTATGGACATAAAATCATGAAATAGTAGTCCAATAAAATTTTGAATGCGAGTCAACATACAAGATGAATGGGCCTTTCACCTGTAACCTAGCTTGAAAGGGTTAAAGTGTTAATTTGGGGCAGAAAAAAAAGAAACTTTTATACCAATGGGAGTCACAATGTAGTTAAGTTAAAAATCTTAAAATACCATATCTCAGATAGGGAAGTGTCTATTTGGAGGGCAAAGCTCTATGCCACCTCAATGAACATGCCCCTGCTTAAAATAAAAATTAATTGATTTAACAGTTATTTTTAGGTCTTACAAAATCAACAAAATTCTGACACTGCATCAAGTATTTTCTGTTGCTTTAGTGAATAATTTAATTGGCAAAATATTATGGAAGGTAAAAAAAAATTACTCTATATCTTTCCCTCATAGTTTTATATATAATTAACAACATGGAAATATTTTGCAACTGATCAGAAGTAATAATTTATCTTGTACTTTAAAAAATCAAAATTTTGAATTGGTTACGTATAATATGGAGAGATATTTTTGAAGCATATAAAAATAGTATTGGATAGAAAGTACAATATGAACTTAATTTACAGAACTTGTTGAAATGCTATAGGTACTTAGTTGGTTTTTAAAACTTAATAATTAAATATTTCAAACCAAGCAATTGATAGAATAAGAAATTTTGAAAAATGTACTATAAGGAGGGAATATTTTAAATCTTTATATCACACAAAATAGATACTATATACTATTGTGAAATATAAGTAGAAAATAACTGTTATGGCTAAAAATATTTTAGCACTTAGATGTTAGTCTTTTCAGGTTTACTAGTTGACTTAAGTTAATATGCTAAAAGAGTTAAGTATCAGTTATCTCTCTTTCAACAGACAGGTCAAAGGGCACATGAAACAATGTTTGAGAGTGTTATTTTCAAAATTTAATTGAATAATTTTATTATCATCATATGTCAGTAAAATTGGGATCACAATGTAGTTTATAATTCAAATTTTAATATTGTATGTGTTTTAATTTCTTAATTTAAAAGAAAATATTTGACATAAATGCCAAATATACATTTTTGTGTGTCTTTTGGCATGTTTTTTTGTCTTATTGCTCAGTCTGTATTTTATTACACCTACCATATAACATCTTTAGTGGTTAATGAATTACAAATTCAAACTTCAGACATTTACAAGCTACAATATAAAATAATAGCCTCCCACCTTTTGGGTTTGCTGAGGTAATATATTTTGCAAACCAAGAAGGTAGCCACATCCACCTCTCCATTCTTTTGAAACCTCCTGTCTACTCACACCTACTTCTCTTAAGTACATGTTTATAACCAATAAAAAATGTACGTACCAAAACATGTAAATCTGACATTTGTTTGTAATTGGCTTTAAGGGGAAACTTGTAATTGACAGGAGATGTTGAAGCCTATTGAGCAAGGTGTCATATTATGGTGTCATGTAAACAGTTCAATGGCAGGAATGGTGATTCATTGCATTATGGATGGTAGGTTTCTACTTCAGGCACTAACAGTAAAATAAACATAGGAAGTTGATGTGAAAAGTTTAGAAGTAGAAACTCTCACTGGAAATACTAAAAGGGATAGAACAGTGGTTACGAGGTCAATCAATTTGACTGATCTTGTATAAAGTTAAGGTAGAGAAAAGAACAGATAAAATATAAACTTTTTCTGAAAAAAAAAGCATTTTTTATTTATGTAGGAAGTGTTAGAGTTTATGCAAATGAAATTTGAAAATTTTCAGATGAAGAAATATATTTTTATTTTTAACATAAAAATCACTTTGCACTAGGAGCAGTTAACACTCTGACACCATATATTCACAGATATATTTTTATTGAAATATACTTAATGAAAAACTCTGATTTACTGTCTAGTGCAATAATACCATTAGTATAAAGACAGTAGGGTTAAGTGTCTTTGACAGTTGACAGCAAAAGAAAAAGAAGACCAGGTAAGTATTTGATTTCTTGTTTTTCATTTGTATTCTTTATTTATTATTATAAATGTAACTAAAATGGAAATTACTTTGCATCCGGACTAGTATATAGAAATACTATATATATTCACAGACAAATCTTTAGTAAAAAATACTTCATTAAAAAACCTGATTTTTTATGTACAAAAGACTTGTAATGTATACTAAAAGTCTGCCACATTTTGTGAAATTACACAAAGTGTATTAAAAGCTATAGTATGGAAATTATAACGAGTACAGAATGGTTATGAGGTCGAGGTCTTAGTAAGAGAGTTAAAGAGGAGGTACTTTAGAAACTGCCTCTAAACTGTTAGAATTTTTTAAAAGAGGATAATTTTGTATGTGTCGTTTAGCTAGTTGTTCATCTAGTAGTTGCCCCCCAGTGGCACAGTGGTAAGTCTGAAGGCTTATATTGATAAAAACTGGGTTTAAATACCCATGGTGGGGATAGCACAGATAGCCTATTGTGCAGCTTTGTGCTTAACAAAAACAAACAAAAATCATCTAGTAGTTATACCTTTATACACAAAACTTTCATTTAAAAAATATTATTTTTTAAACTTGTGCTGCTATATGATATTCTGTTGATAAGATTGCATTATCAGAATTTTAGATACCAAAGTTCCATTTTGTTTTCATTTTATAATTTGTTTACACAGTTTTCTGCATATTTTTGAATATCTAATACTTTGTTTATATAATTTATTGTTTAGGGGTTGGACTTGTTATCAGGAAAAAGAAAGTCAGAAGTGAAGAAAGATATTCAAAGAAAGATTGAAAACAGGTAGGAAATTAGATACATTAATGAAAAAGACGTAATAATTTCAAAGATAAACCTTGCACATAGTTGCCTGATTTCCACAACAACTAGAGATTTGAGGACCCAGTATGTGGAAGGAGTAGTGTAATATTAACTGAAAGACTGCCAAATTTTGTGAAGATATACCCACTATATTGAGAGTTATAAGTATTAAATCTATAAAGACTTTAAACAAATACAAAAAGGTCATGTGATCGGTCAAATTGACCGAGCCCGTATTGAGAGTGTTAAAATATGGATTATTAGCTAATATTTTATGCTATACTAATTGGTATAATGTAAACAAAATGTAGTTTAATAAAATTTTCAAAATAAGACAAAAACCTTGTGTCATGCACAGTTAAGGATACCAGTGGCAATAGGGTTAACTAGTCTTTTTTCCAGTCCCTACTGCTGTGGCTTTCTAAGCTTATCTTCTGGGTGGCACCTTATCTAAAAACTTTTTGAAATATTGTATATACAAAGTCCACCCACTTTCTGTCATTCAAATATACATATACACTGAGTAG